CCAAGAGCAAGCTCGCAGCCCATGGCCCTGCAGCCGACGCAGGTGCCGGCCACCGCTTATCCATTGCCGCTCCCGGCCTCGGAGTCACCCTGAGACGGTGTCGAAGCCGGCAGTGGCGTGTCAGCCCCTTGTCCTTGGTGCCCAGCGGACGCCTGGTCCACGTCCTGCCAGAGCTTGGGCTGCCCTGGGGCGGGGCCTCCAGTGGCTGCTGCAGCGGCCCACGCCCGCTTGTCTGCCGCCGACATCAGCGACCACTGGTGACGCACGGCGCGTTTGAAGATAGTCGTCGCACAAGGACCTCCTCCCGCCTGGTTCTTCTCCTCCGTGCGCGACGCCGCGCGGAGGCTGAGCCGGAGAGATGGACGCTCTGCATCCAGAAATCCAAGACCTTCTGGGTGGCCTCGGGCTCGGGACCATCGGACCCCATGCTGTTGGTTGGCCTTGTAATGGCTGTGAGGAAGGATGCGGAGATGGAAAGGCGCTGCAGCTCGGGACAACGTGGCTGCGGATAGAGGGGTGGAGAAGCAGGGGCGGCAGAGAGGCCCAGGCGAGACATCTCCAAAGCGCCCTCTCGACCGCGCTCCCCAAAGGCAGGATGCACCCCGGGTCGCATGGGGAACCGATGCAGGAGTGGACGCCTGGCCGTGCAGAGGCAGAAGAGACGGAAAGGAGGAGGGAGAAAGAGGAGCAGATGCCCAGGCCTCACCAACCCAGGCCTCACCAACCCAGCCCAACCCGATCCCGCAGGACTGGGAGGGAGGGAGGGAGGGAGGGAGGAGGGATGAGGGGAAGAGCCCACCCCAGCTCAATCCATCTCTCCCGAACCCACCGCAGTCCTGCAGAAAGGTCAGTCCTCTAGCAAGGACTGGGAGGGAGGAGGAGAGGAAGAGAGGGGGAGGGGGAGGGGGAGGAGGAGGAGGAGGAGGAGGAGGAGGAGGAGGAGGAGGAGGAAAAGGAGGAGGAGAAGGAGGAGGAGGAGGAGGCAGTTCGCAGTTTTTTTCCCTCGTAGTTTGTCTTTCGTCGTATTTTGTCTTCCCTCCCTCCGACCATCGCGCCCGTCCCTCGTAGTTTGCCTTCCAGTTCTAGGCCGCACGCGCGGGGGGTCCGAGGGGTGTGTGGCGCCTGCTCGGCGGGATGGCTTCTGATTCCCGACGGCTGTTTGTCCCGCACGGGTTCCGACTGACCCTTCCCCTCCCCCCTGGAAGGTGGGCCGTTTGTGAACAAAAGTTTGGCTGTTGGCCCATCTTCTCCCAAGCTGGCGCCTCCATAAGGAATGCCTTGCTGTATGTTGCTCCACGTGGCTCCGCGCTGGCCGCGGAACGTGCTTCCAAGGGCTTAGGTCTTGTTTGTTTGTCTGTTGGCATACTTTCTCCCAACCTGGAGCTTCCACAATGACGCTCATGCTGTACCTGTTTCCCCGTGGATTCGTGCTCGTCGCGGTGCGTGCATCGTAGGGCGCATGTCTCCCTGACGTGGCTGTTCAGCGAGCGAGCTCTACGTTTTACTGTTGTCCAACCTTGCCTCGCACGCGCAGCGGGGGCGCGTTTGGCAAGGTTTCCTCCCAGCCTGGCATTTCGACGATCGAGGTCTGTATGGCCCTTGTTCCAACATTTTCCCCGCACCCGCTACGCCGCGTGCCTCGCAGGGCACATGTACTGATCGCGTGCTTATTTCCTCCCAATGTGTCGTTTCAGCGAGCGACGCATGGATAGTTTCCCCCTTTGGATTTGCGTTCGCCACGGCGCAAGCTTAAAGGACGTACAACGCTGACGGATGTTATCTTACCTTGATATGTTTCTCTCAATTTGCCGTTGTAGGGTTCTGGCCAGGATTCTCGTTTGGTTGGCAAGTTGTCGCCTTGTCGCCAGTTACATGGCCGAGCAAGACCACCGGGCTTCCCCTTGACAGCGCAGGGGGTGATTGCCCACTCTTGGATGGTGCGTCCCTCCGCTCATTGGATCCCACACGTCGCCACGCGCGTGGGATCTCCGTATAGAGTGCCACATTCGTTGCGACGCTTGCTGGCTTGACGGCTGGCCTGTCCGCTTTCCTCCCCTCAGGTTTCTTGTTTCTTCTCCCAAACTGCGCTGGAAGACGAGGATCCCACATCATCGGAGGCCGCTGCTCTCAAACAGAGCTTGGTCCAGAGGCCCCCGAACACAATCCTCGACAAGGAACCCGCCCCGGAGGCATGTATTCCGGCTCTGCAGAAGAATATTTGGCAGAACCGCGCTTTCGGAGCCACCTTGCGTGGAATCCCGCGCTTGCAGGGTCTGCCCAGCATATCGGGGGCGCCCAAGACGGGGGGTCATGACTGGGGGGGATCTCATGGCTGGGGCCCCTCCCTGGATTTCGTGGCCCCCGCTTCCTTCTTCTTCTTTTTCGTTTTCTTCTTATTCGTATCATTATTTGTCTCATTATTCTTCTTATTCGTCTTCTCATCTTTTCAGTGCGTCCCCTGGCCCCCCCTCGTTCGCGCAAACGTCTCGGGTCACGATTTGCGAACTCCACTCCTAGACGCCCCCCGCTTGGACGGCCCCCGAGCTCAGAACGCACGATTCGTTCGCGCCTGCGGAGTGCCTGGCGCACAGGACCCCAGTTGCACCTATTCTTGCGGAGGCCTCCCCGAGTGGAATCCTGGAGGAAGCCGTGCCTGCGGAGGCCCCCCTGCACACACTCCCCCGAGGGGAATGCGGGCCTGCGGAGGCCTCTTTCCGCACCATCGCCCCGGGCAGCTCGCGCCCACGGAGTGCGCCGCGCATACCCTCCCCGCAGCTCCGCGCTCGCGGGAACCCCCCCGGATACATGCTTAGGGCTTGCGGAAGCTCCCCCCGCGCGGACTGCAGCGAAGATTCACATTCGCGCAGGAGTTTCCCCCATAAATAACCCCTGAGCACGGAGCGTCTCCTGGCCCGTCCCTTGGAGGCGCCCCTCGGCGTGAAACCCCCTGGCACACGCATCCTGGCACGTCCCATGGTATGTCCCCCTGGCACGTTCCCTTGCACGTCCCCTGGCGCTTTCCCTGGCGCATCCCCTTGCACGTCCCCTGCAACGTCGCCTGGCGCCTTCCCCGTCGCGTCCCCTCCCGCCTTCCGCAAGCCCTGTGGCGCGTCCTCTGGCACGCTCCCTGGCTCGTGAACCCTGTCGCGTCCCACGGCCTATGCCCCAGCACGCCCCCTGCCACGTCCCTTGGCTCGTCCTCTGGCGCGACCCCTGTCGCGTCCCGCAGCTTGTCTCCTGGCACGTCCACTGACGCGTCCCCGTGGAAGTCCCCTGGCACCTCCCCTGGCACGTCCTGTGGCGCGTCCAGCGGCACGTCCCCTGGCACGCCCCCAGGCACGTTCCGCGCGAACCGTGGCAGGTCCCTTGGCGTCTCCGTTTCCTTGCACGCCCCCTGTCACGTCCCCTGCCACGTCCCCTGGCGCCTCCCCTGGCGCGCCTCCCCTGGCGCGCCTCCCCTGGCGCGCCCTCCTCGGCGCGTCCCCTCTGGCACGTCCCCTAGCACGTCCCCCGGCGCCTTCCGTGGCGCGTCTCCTGGCATCTCCCCTGGCGCGTGCCCCGGGCCATGCCCCTCCCGCGCGCGTCCTCTGGCGCGCCCCGAGGCCTGGAGGCGCCTCCCGGCGGCGTGCCGCGGCTCGCCCCTTTCGCTGCGGCACCGCCGCGGCGCGGCAGGGGCGGAGCAGCACGGGTGTTCTTGGCACCGCTCGGGCGTGTCCCTCTACAGGGGGATATTCAAAAGTAGTCAAGAAATAGTATGGGGACGATTTGTTTTTTCAATAATGTTGCTATTGTAGAGTATTTTTTGTCTATGTTTAATTTTTCGTCGGAAATCCCCCTGTAGGGGGACATCTTGGCTCATCTTGCGAACAAAGGAAAATACAGTGGAGGCACATGCCAGGATCCGCGCCCCCACTTCACCCAGGATGCCCTGACCTTGCCACCTTGTCGGCTGCGCCCGTCCGAGAGGCGCAGTAGCTGTGCGCGCGGGCACGCGGGGTTGCCTAACGCGAAAAAGGTTAGGCTGTCGGCCAGTACCTCTACCCCTCCCACCTCCATCGGAGAGCCGGGGCTACAGTGGAGGCCCATGCCAAAAGACACCCTGTTCGCCTCCAGGGTGCCTTGGGTTTCTTGGGATCCGATGGTTCTGCTGTGGAGGGCGTGACGTTCCCACACCAAGAATCAATGGACGTCCTGGGGTCTCAGGGTTGGGCTTCTTGTGGAGGGTTTCCTGTGGTCGGGCCCTCACTGTAAACGCACGACGCCCCAAACATGCACGGGGAATGCTCGTCCGAGCGATGGCAATTGTCCAGAGCACCATTTGGAGGATCCCGTCGCAGCACAGCGCGGAGCCACAGTACATGTAATGGGTCGACCTTGTGGCCGAACCCGTGCGAACTTCGCAGGCATCCTTTTCTGGATTCGTGAGTTGCTCACGTTTTTGGTTAAGGCTTGCGGCCGCATGAGCGCGGACCCAGTGATGGTTTGTGGAAGCATCGTGGCCACGGGAATGGGCCCATGCTTCCAAAGGAGGAAGCGTGTGGCCTCGGAAATTCTGGGCTCATTGCTCTTGGCGGCGCATCGTGGCTTGTGGGCGGCGGGCCCGCAGTCTTTGGTTCGGGAGCGCTGACCCATAGCTTCTACATGGGATCGTGGCTCCGAGAGCTTGAACCACGTTCGCAATCCGCCAGGAACCGTGGCCTCGGGGATGCGAGCCACTGTCTTTTATGAGGGATCGTGGCCTCAGGGCTCCAGTCTATTGCTTTTTCCATCGGGACGTGGTTTTGAGATCGCGGACCAACAGCTTCTTCGAAAGATCGTGGCTGCGGGATCGTGGACCCGTTCTTTTACCAGTGCTCGTGGTGTGGCGAATTTCCGTAGCCATCTCGGCTCAAGCCCTTTTGGCTCAGGTGATTTTGGGCTCGAGGCCCGGGCCGCCCGCGGGGCTCCGGCAACGTCCGCTGCGGCCAGTTGCACAGACGGCTGGACTCGGCCCAGGGACCATGACAAACCTGGCTGGAGCCTCCGCCGGCCAGCCGGGGGCGGGAGGCGACGACAAGCAGCGGCGGGAGTTCGCCCGAGAGGACTATGTTCACAAGGTGCCCGAGGGAGACCTCCGTGCGTCGCAGCACTTCAGTAACTTGCTGTTCAGCGGCGACCTGCTGAGCACGGCGATGGAGCTGGCGCTCCTGGTTGGCCTGACCTCTGCAGCGGTCCTGTTGCCAGCAGGCACCGTCAACGTGAACGGCAGCATGCCTCTCTTGGAGGTGGCGGCGTTCTTCTGGTGCACGAGCATCGTGACGAGGGTTTACAATTCGTACCTCGAGGCGTGCTACTTTGCTTTCCCGCAGTACCGCACACAGCCGCCGAGCGATCACGCGCTGGTTGACCGCAAAGACTTGTGTGGCCGTGACAGAGTCCAGCTTGAGCGGCTGGTGCTGCACGATAGGATGACGATGTTGACCCAGTTCGCCTTCGGCGTGCTCGTGTACTACTGCCTGCCGGGCTATTACCCCGCGGCTGAGAACGTGAAGGACAGTCTCCCCGTCAGGGTCGCGAAGCTCGTTTTGAACCACTACATCATGTCCTTTGGCATGTACTGGGGCCATCGAGCTTACCACGTCAACCCCTGGCTCTGGAAGAACCTGCACTCGGTCCACCACTGGGCCCGGCACCCGCTGTCGCGGAACACCTATCAGGACCATTGGTTGGAGAATCTCGTCAATCATGTTGCTGGGCACTTCGCCGCACAGGTCCTGTGCCCCATCGACCATGGTTGCTTCTGGGTCTCGCACGTGTTTCGCATCCTCGAGAGTTTGGAGAAGCACTCTGGCATAAGCTGCTACCTGAACCTCGCGCACCAAACACAGCGCTGGATGCCTTACGCACAGATGCCACATCACCACGACTGGCACCATGAGGGGCACAAGTCGTGCAATTACACGTTCTCTGCGCTCGGTGGCGTGTGGGATTGCATCTTCGGCACGCGCAAAATCGGTCGTTGTGAGGCAGCGCCAGGTCAGATGACACCACACGACCGTTCTCTTGCTGCTTCCAAAGCCCGTGGCTTCAAGACGCCGTTGCTTGATGACCCGAACATGTGCCTCGTGCCGTCTACCCTGTTCATGTTGACGGTGATGTGGAAGTTGAGCAGCGGCGGACAGTGAGTTAGTGTGTAATCAAGCCACGAATGCCACATCATGATTCCCATGGGTCAAATTTTACACTTCCCGTGGCCCGGAACGCCGCTCAGCGTTTCGTTCCAGGGATCGGGCTGGGCATGCGGCTCCGCCACGAGAACTTTCCAAGGGTGGTTCGCGACACGCCCGGATTTTCTTTGCATGTCTTCTGCCAACTTTTCTCAGCTGGCCAAATTCCACCAAATGGTTCGCCGGTGATTGGGATGCCTAACATAGACAGTGCATCCAGAGAGAGAGAGAGAGAGCGCTAGTTCTCTCTGCCAGCGCGTGTCTGTACTCACCGTGTCCTAAAGACCGTGGCACATACAGCAGCCTTGACTGGAGAACAAATTCTTGCACCGAGGAGTCGTCGCCGCGTGAGCGCGGACACGCGGATATTCTTCGTGCCCCAGGACGCACAGGTATTCTTAGGATGTGGCTCGGGGGAGGGAGCGGTAACTTTTCGGGCTGAGGGGTGTGCCGCGCTCATTGTGTTCGCAACGTGCATGATGATGCCAGGCGGGATGCGCGGCAGCAGACGCGGACGACGAGAGGCAGCATCTCGTCATCGTTTTCGGGGAAGGCAAGCCCCATGTTCTGGGAGGTTTCCTTGCCCCCCCCCCCCAAGAGACGAGTGGGCTCATGCGGCGTTTGCCGACCAGCATCGCCCCGCGAGCCTCGTCTTGAGGACGCCATAGGAGGCATGGCTCGACCTGGCTGGTTCATGAATCATTGCCGAGGGGTATACTTGAATGACCGCTGGGGTTGCTAAGGGGATAGGAATTACACGTGGATGCTCGGATGGCTTGTACATGTCCTAACGTAGAGGAAAAGCGGGTTAGAAGTGACCTGACTGGCTGAAGATCTGATTAGAGTGGGGTGCGCCCAAATAGCGTATTTACCGAGTCCACCCATTTGCGGCACCTGTAGCCCATTTAAGAGTTAGTTTACACCAGGTCTTATCCACCGCAAGAATTTGAGCGACGAAAAACGACGGGGTCGTTTGCGCTGGCATTGGCGCGTAAGTTGTCCGCGTAAGGTCACGCGCAAGAGTCCTCACCTCCAATGTGGCGTGTCTCCCTGGTGGCCCGCGTAAGCCGCCGCGTGAGGTGCCTATGTCATCTCACGTACATCGAAGAAGAATCAGGCCATAAGCATAAACTCTTGGCGCTTCGCGCGGAGCGTCAAAAGTTTATGTGTATGGTGTTCTTTCCTGTTCTAACCTCGACTGGCAGCAGTTCCTATACATTTTGAACAAGGCTCGCTGTCCGCGCCGCCGCGGACGTTGTCCATTCGAGGCAGAGTGTCGCCTGCCCAACAGCGGCCGCAGTCGGTTTTGGACAGGATTTGTTGTTGGGCATCGCACCCAGGTTTTCCGTACCCATTTCTGGTGTCCAAAAGGATCGCACGCTGAAGGGCGCGAAGACGACCGTTCCGAGGTTGGGCCTTACGGTCGGGAATGTTTGAATAGCGTTTCGAGGTTCGAGGTTCGATGTATTCGGGCGTTATTGTCGGTTCTCGGAGTTCTCGGAGGGTTTCCAGCCTCGGGGTGCCTTCAAGCTGCTGCGCCTCGCCAAGGGCGTTCCGGGTTTGCTGGGATCCCTTCGAACGGCCACCAGAGAGCCGAGTCATGACCCGGAAGCTGGCGGCACGCAGATCAGAGGCAACGTTTAGGGAGAGATACGGTCGGGATTTGTGGGACAGCGTTTCGCTCCGCTGGTTCGGGACCACCACGCTTCGGCGCGACACGTTATCCGTTGCCCAGTCCCCAGGCGTCAGCGTCCCGAGTCTTTCCGGGCCTCCCGCCCCGCGGAGCGGCACGCTCTCCACTCGCAGGGCACAGTGTGTCGCTGGGGCCGCCGTGACGATACGCTATACAAACTTACCTGGCCGTATCCATGTCCACCACCCAGGAGGCGGTGGATTCAGAAGCAGCTCCTGGGAGCCTTGAATGTCCTCGACTTTCCATTCGGACTGCATCGGCGTGCGCTAGCGCCTGGCGTTCGATAAGAGAGCGCCGACAAAGCACCGATAGGCGACGATTTGGCGTCGGCTAGCGGCGAGGAGTGTTGATTAGCGACAACTTGCGTCGGCGAGCATCGGTTCGCAAGAGCCAGCAAGATGACATGGGATACTGCCACGAGTTACCACAGACACCGTTCCGAGGCTGGGATTTACAGTGGAGACCCATGCCAAGAAACATCCTGCTTGCCTCAAGGGTGCCCTGGGTTTTCTCTGTTTCGATGGTTATACGGTGGAAAACGTGACGTCCACATACCAAGAATCAAAGGACATCCTGGGGTCTCAGGGTCGGGTTTCTTGTGGAAGTTTTTTTTTTGTGGTCGGGCCCCTACGGTGGGGCGTTGGTTAAGGAATGTGCCCAGGAGGCTTCAGACCCTGGGGGGGGGGGTCCTTATTTGATAAGGGCGGTGGTGATATCCATGGCCAATCCACGATCGAAGTTCCACTGGCTTCGAAACCCTGGATTCCCTATCTACGGGTTCCTGATGCAATGCCCCCACCGTACTGTATCCGTGCCCCCGGCCCGGGAGACCGAGCCTCCAGGACTTCGGGAGGCGGTGGGTGTGGAGCTGTACGGAGTTGAGTCGGGCGTGTCTCTCTACAGGGGTAATGCTCAAAGCAGTCAAAAGATAGTCTTGGACGATTTTCCGAGTACTCCAAATCTCTTATTATTCGACCCCCTCTAAAAACCGGACCCCCCTCCAAATGCGACCTAACACATTGCGGACCCCCCTCTTCGACGGGGCGCCTTAATGAACCGGACCCCCAAGTTCCAATCCAAAGAAAGCGCCCTAATAAACCGGACCCCCCCAGTTACAAAAAGGGCGCCTTACAAAACCGGACCCGGGGGACGATTAATATCGGATTTGGAGTATGTTTGGCTAGTTGTGTGTATCTTGTTGGGCAACTTTTATGTGTCATCCGCCTGCAGGGGGGGCATGCCCGACCTAAGGTTCGTGATGGAGTGCTGACGCAAGACACCCTTGCACCCTTCGGTTCCGGGCATCCCTGGCAGAGTTTATGCCTCCCAGGTCCAAGGGTACGCACCCTTGTGGGCGCGCGCGCGCCCTTGGCGTCCGAGGGCCTTACCTCTTCAATGTCCATCCCTGTGACGCACTCTGACTGCACTCGGGCACCAGGGAGCCCAAAAGTCAATTCGGAGGTTGATAGACCTGCTACCCTAACACGTCGATTAGCGAATTGGCCGTTTTTGGCTCGCGAGAGGGCGCCGCGGCCGTAATTTTTGCTGGTCTAGGTCCGTCTGTTTCGGTCCCAGGCCGTTTTCACTAAGGGGAGGTTTGCTAAAGGGAGGTTTGTCCACCGCCGATCAATACTCACCGCTCCCTGGGCCTCCGCTACCGTCTTCGCCTCCTCCCCGTTCCTCCAGCGGCGCCTGCCCTCCCGGCGGCGCCTCGTGCGCCGTTCCTCCGGCCTGCCCCGGCGGCCCTCGGGCGCACGTCGCGAGGCCAGCCGCGCTAGCCTGCGCCGTGGAGCAGCAGAGCCCCCCCCCGGGGGTCTCCCAGGGCAGCGGCCACCCCCCGCCAGGCGGCGGACAGGGATATACACTGGGGGCGCGCATCAAGAAACCATGTGCTCTTCGTCGGGGTATCCTGGATTTCTTCGCTCCTCGCGCTGCGCGGTGGCTTCCCGCAGCCGCTGAGGGAGCTGCTGCGTTCAGGGTGCTCCAGGTTTCCCCTCGGGTGCAACTCGCGCACGGGTTCTCAGGGTTGGGTTTCCTGCGAGGGGTTTTGCGATCGCGCCAGCACTGTAGATCCCCGCATCGCAGCCGCTCGTCGCGCCCTGCGCAGCGCGAGGCACGCAGAGCTCCGACTCGGCTGCTTCCCCAGCTGCGCATCATCTTCAACCAGGGCTCGACCTGAACGGTGTCGTGATGATCTCGTCGACCGTTGCCGCTTTGATCTTGTCCTGCAGCAAAGGCGGAATGAGGGCGGACCGAGCGAGAACGAACACAAAACGAAAGTGGAAAGCACTGTTCATGTCGAGCCCTGTCTTCAACGGCCAGGGGACAGACCGACAGACAGACAAGAGCCACGCCTGGTCGGCACACTGGCAAGGACAGCTGCGCCAGACGACGGCGTATCAGGGTACACTCGAGCGAGCTGAATCATCGATTGCACCTAGTGGGGGGCGAGGAATGATGGGGCTCCCCCAGCCAGAACAGGACAGAGGGCACAGCCCCCTCAAGATCGCCACCGCCATCGGCGTGTACTACTGGACTGGTTTCGCAGGAGGCGCAATTATCACCGGCTACCAAATCTGGAGGGGAAGGGCGGGGGAGTGGCTATCGCCACGAAGGCAACGGGCTCCGAGGGAAAACGGGTCCTGAGGTGTTTCGCCGTTTCCAGGCGACGATGTCTGTCAATACCCGCTGCACCTGGCCGGGCCCATCCTTCAGCCACGCGCAGAGGGGGGTATAGGGGGGAGGGGGAAGGCCTCTTAGAAGCACCCCTGCTTCTTAGAAGGCGCGGGCCTCGTCTGCAGATGTAGGGCCGGCGCCTTCTAAGAAGCAGCCTCCTTCCAGGAAGGCTTCCCCCCCTCCCCTTCTCCCCCTGGTGCGCGCCGCCAAATCCTGTGTCCAGGAGCTGTGTAGTCATATTTGCCCGTTGGAAGCATATCCCTATCCCAGTGTTTGGCATCACCTTGCCTCGATACCGATCTTCAGGATTCCCTCAGTTTCTGAGGGCCTATGCCTAAGATCGTAATAGCTTTCGGCTTGCCCATCTCAAGGACAGGGATCAGTTCGAGGCTGGTTGTGTATGCCCTCCTGGCCAAGCCGGGTGGGCGTGTGCGCCGCTCCTGGCCCCAGGAGGGCCCTGGCCAGGAGCGGTGGAGATGTGTACAGATCTCGCCAGTGGAGACGTGCACCGACCTCGCCGCCCCGCGCTTCTTTCGGAGAAGAATCGGGGGAACGTGCAACTCGAGTGAGCCAGAGCTGAACTCGGGTTTGCTGACGTCGCGTCTTGCATTTTGGCGGTCCAGTCTTCGTGGGATGTTTGCCGCGGGAGCTCGCATCAAATTTCAGATCGGGCCTCGTCATTTTTTATGATGGCCCCGTCATGCCAACCCGAGTCCCCCGTACCCGAGTCTTACGTCTCCCCGAAAGAACAACGCCATACACATAAACTTTTGGCGCTCCGCGCGGATTTCTCGGATCCGCGCCTGGGCACCTTTGGCGGTGCCTCCGGCGCCGCCGCTGGATCCAAGAAGTCCGCGCGGAGCGCCAAACGTTGATGCTCATGGCGTTGTTTCTCCTTCTCTTTTGTGGGGCTCCCCGGACCTCCCCCGATGCCCGGGGCCGTCCACAGGGCGACTATAGGGCTTCCCCCGACCCCTTCCTCCTCCTCCTCCTCCTCCTCCTCCTCCTCCTCCTCCTCCTCCTCCTCCTCCTCCTCCTCCTCCTCCTCCCCCTCCCCCCCATCTGCTCCGACCCCATCCAGGAGGCCTCTGGCGACCCAGGACGTCGGGCAGGTCCCAGAGGAGGGCCGTGGGACCACAGGCCCGCCTCCCCTCGGGACACCCGCCTCCCGCAGGGTGGGTCGCCGAGTTCTCTCGGCTCCTCTCGGATCCCGTCTCCCCCTTCCTTCTCCCTTCCTTCTCCTCCAATCGTTCTCCTCCTTCTTTCCCTTCCCCCCCCGTCCTCCTCCTACGCTCCCGTTCACCCTGTTCTCCTGCCCAAAGGGGGGAAAGACACCCATACCGCTACCCTTCCCTCGTTTTCGCCTTTTTGGGCCTCCTGGGAGGCCCCCGTCGCCACCGCTGAATTCGCCTCGGGATTCTGGTTCGAGCTCTGGGGAGAAGCGGTATCGGTACTTGCTGGTTTCCCTATTTTCTCGGCTCCCCCCTAGTGTGGCCAGGGTGGATGGCGCCCGCCCGGGAGGTAGAGAAGGAGAAGGAGAAGGGAAAAGAAGAGGAGGAAAATGAGAAGGATGATGGTGATGACGACGATGACGATGACGATGGCGATGACGATGTTGATGATGATGGTGATGATGATGACGACGATGACGATGACGATGACGATGACGATGACGATGACGATGACGATGACGATGCTGATGATGATGGTGATGGTGATGATGATGCTGCTGCTGATGATGATGATGATACTGCTGATGATGATGTTGCTGCTGATGATGATAATGCTGCTGCTGATGCTGCTGAGGATGATGCTGAGGAAACAGATGAGGACGAGGATGATCATGAGGATGAGGATGCGGATGATGATGATAATGAAGATGCGGATGAGGATGAGGATGAGTTGGAGGGCGAGGAGGAGGGCGAGGATTATGAGCAGGAGGAGAAACATGCGACGTGGAAAGCAGCAGCAACCAGAACAGGTACCGAAGGAGGGAGGGATGCATTCAGGCAGACTTTGCGGAGGAAAGGACGGGGAAGGAGGAGCAGCAGCAGGATGTGGAGTTGTGGTGATGCTTCTGCTGCTGATGGTCACTGCGATGATTATGATAATGCTGCTGCTGGTGATGCTGATGATGACAATGCTGATGCTACTGATGATGAAGATGATGGTGATGATCATGGTAATGATACTGATGATGGTGATGCTGTGGTTGGTGATGATGGTGATGATGATGAGGAGGATGCTGATCACCATGATTATATCTTCAACGATGATCATGATGCTGCTGATGCTGATGAGGAGGATGGTGGTGCGGATGATGATGACGATGATGATGATGATGATGATGATGATGATGATGCGGCTGATGATGATACCGTCGCCGATGACGATTGTTTAACCATGATGATGATGCTGATTAGTATGATGATTAGATGGAGGATGCTGATGAGGATGGTAATGAAGCGGTTGATGTTGCTGCTGTTGATCATACAGCTGCTGTGATGACCAGTGTGATGATCAGTGTGAAGGCGGTGATGATAATGATGATGATGGTGATGATGATGCAGGTGATGGTGATAATGTTGCTGATGATGGTATTGATGCTGATGATGATGATGTTGATGACGATGCTGATGCTACTGATGATGATGCTAATGATAATGATGATGATGATGATGATGATGATGATGATGATGATGATGATGATGATGATGATGGTTATGATGATGCTGTTGATGGTGATGATGATGATGCTGTTGATGATGATGGTGCTGACGATGATGATGGCGACGACGACGATTGTGATACTGGTGATGGTGATGCTGATGATGATAGTGACGGTGACGGTGATAAGGGTGGTGATTGTGGTGATGATGATGATGTCTGCACATGGTGCTTCATGGTGACGAGTAGGATGATAATAATGATGGCGACGATGGCGATGCCACTATGCCGATGACGATTTCAACGTCGCCGATTATGGTGCTAACCACGATTATGGTTGCGTTTGTGATTGATCACGGTGGTGATGAGGGCGACGAGAAGGAGGAGGAGGAGGAGGCGGAGGAGGAGGACGAGGAGAAGGAGGAGGAGGTGGGGGGGCGGAGGAGGTGGAGGAGGTGGAGGAGGAGGAGGAGGAGCTGGAGAAGCTGGAGAAAGAGGAGAGAGGAATCTAAAGAGGGAGGACGAAGATAAGGGCGAGGAGGGGAGTAGGAGGGCTCGTGTCCACGCTGGATGTAGCTCGAAAGACCGGCCAGGACCGACCCCAGGAAGGGACCAGGTCACTTGCAGGATCGCGACGATGACCGCGCTTCGCGCTTCGCGGCCTTGGCTGGAGGGTCGTCCTTCTCCAGGGGGCGCCGCGCGAACGAGAAGATAATCGAGCGTCGCGCGGAGCGACGCGCGAGAGGTTGGGCGACCTACAAGGAATGCGGGGCTCTCGGAAAGGGATGCCTCCACCAGCCCAGAGAGGCTCTGGCTGGGTCCCAGACGGCCACCCTCGATCGCGCGAAGGAAGCTGTTTGCCTCGCGGCATTCGGGCTTCCTTGACAGGCGCTCTCTCGTGCGAGGGTTTCGCTGCACGTCGCTGGCCGATGGCGCGTAACCTCTGCGTGCCAGTCGCCGTGCCGCCGAGGCCAGCAGCGCAAGGGAACCCGCGGCGCTCGCCCTTCCAAGAGGCTCGCTCGTGCCTGCCGTTGTGGGGCCCTCCCGGTCCGACGCCGACCGCGCATCGTGTGAAAGCATGCCGCGTTGGCGCTGGATAGGGCAGACGCAGAAGGATACAGTCGGGGCTTTGATTTAAGGAACCCAACATGTGAACGAGGCCCCTTTCTTCCATAAGTTAAAGTTCGATTTACCAGCGGAAACCTAAAGACAACCTAAGGCACACTGTGAAACAATGAAGGAACACGGAGCCCCTTCCCAACAAAAAGGGTTCCTTCTTCAGCGCCCCGACTGTAGACGAGTGGTTCCCAGATCGAGCGGAGCCATGCGCCTCCTCAGCGGTTGTGCGGCACGCAAAGCTGGTTGGCTCGTGCCACGTTTTCGCTCTGTCTGGCGGCCCTGAATTTCCAAGGGCACCCGCGTTGGCGCGAAAATCCAGTCGAGTATCTGATTGAGAAACCTCACTTAAGATTTGGGCCAACCTTTCTCGACCAACTTGCTGGAAACCTGGCCGGTTTCTTGTGCACGTGCGTCCTTCCAGCGCGAACAAATGAGTTGGCCCAGGTTTGTTTGAAGACGCTTCCGGGAAGCCGGCCCAGATCTCTCACATGACAATGTGATTGCTATATGTTCGGTTGTGATCGTGTTCCGCGCGTCGCGTTCTGGGCCATTGCGGCTGCCCGTCTCCAAAGGCGGCGGCGCGAAGGATCGAGGGCGCGAAGATCATGGCGCGTCGCGCGTCGCCCCGCGCGATGCTCGAAGTTGTACACGTCAAGGGTCGAGGTTCTGGACTCCTGCATCACTTTAGACGCCCTCCTGCGCCAAGGGTCGACCAGTTTTCCCTCGTCCCTCCTCCTCAGGGGGCGGGCGGCAAGCCAATCTGCTTCCAACGATGTTCTACTTCATGTTTCGACTCATTTCTTCCGACCGACGGGTATCCAGCAATGGCGAAGCGTCTTGGCGTGCCTATAGGCCTACCAAACAATGTTCTAAGAAACTTTTGTGGTTTCCACGAAATGTTCTTAGAACATGTTTTGCTGGGACTGTCTTGTTTTAACACATCTGATTTGTGTTCTAAGAACATGGTCTTTGTTCTTGGAACATTCTTGGGTTCTAAGAACATTCCATGGTAGGCCTACAGGAATGCTGGGACGGTCGGTCCCCGCTCAAGGGCAGGCGACCCAGCTTTCAGGCTGCTGTGCTAGTGTTCGGTCACTCTGGTGGGGCGCGGCGGCCGCCTCCTCCCCCCCTTTCTCACATACCAAGGAGGGCGGGCGGAGTCGCGAGCCCTCTGCTGGAGGGGCGGGTACACGTTGTTCATGTCTAATTCTTCGAAAGTTCTCTGATTTTCTGGGGGGCCAAGATCCTCTCATTTCTAATTGTTCTATCCTGGGCCCTGGGCCTCTTCCTGGCCACTAGGGGGCCTGGAACAATTAGAAACGAGCACGATTAGAAATGAGCACGATGAGAAATGAACGACGTGTACCCTTGGGAGGCCAGGGACCAGGAAGCACGCCCCCAATCTGGAGCGAATCGGCCGCTTTGCAGGTCACGAGTCAGCTTTGCGGGCCACGTGTCTCCTCTTTTTGTCCCTCCGTCGTCGTGGTCGTCGTCCCTCGCTCTGTCTCATGTTTCATTTCTGCTCAGCTGTGCGCGGCACGAGACAAGCTGCGGGGTGGGGGGGCTTGCGTCATCGAGTTGCGCTCCTTGATGAGAGCTGGAGCGAATGAAACCTGCGGCTGGTATCCCAGGGCGTCCTGTAGATCGGGGGAGCGGTGTGTTCAACGGTGTGGTATTGTGCCGTTCAAGTTGTGCGTTCAGATTTGTCGTACTGCTTTGCCGGCAGGGTTACATATGGCGTAAGTGTGCATGACGTGCGTAGGGTCTGCGTCCACACAAGGGGGGGGGCAGGAACGGGGAGGGTTGAGCGAGACAACGACAGATGACCAGGATGCAAACCGTTGAGAGGGTGACGCCGAAGATTCCAATGATGAGGACGGTGGGGAGGGCGAGGGCGTCGAAGACGGTGAGGGGTGGGGGCGTATGGAGGGCGAGGATGAGGGCGGAAGAGGGGAAGAGGTGCCTGGTCAGCGGCAGCAAGCACGACGGGGTGACAACCGTGTCGATGGTGCGGCGCTGGATCGTGTGCCGCCCGCCCGCCCGGGCAGGAGGTCGGAGGCACCGGATTGCGGGGGATGCTCTCCTGCGAACAGCGAGCCCTCGGCGCAGTGGCCCAACTCCGGCCCCCGCTGCTCTTTCCATTCCCCCCCCCCCTTCCTGATGAGCCTGTTGTCCACCAACACCACCATAAGTTGGAGGGGGAAGGAGGAGGAGGAGGAGGAGGACGAAGAGGAGGAGGAGGAGGAGGATCAGGAGGATCAGGAGGAGGAGGAGGAGGACCCCCCGCCAACTTATGGTGGTGGTGGTGGAAGACACGCCCATCACTTCTGGCTCCTCTCTCCGCTCCGCTCCCTGGTCACACTGCCTCCTCCTCCCGCCCTTCCGCCGCTCGCTCGCCCGCCCGGCGGGCAGGGGGTCGGCAGCTGTGCTGCTGTCCGGCAGTCCACGGCACCCCGGCGTGCGTGCCACCATTCAGTGCGGCGACCGCGTAATGGTCGATTCCCCAGAAAATCTGGGAAAATATGGGATGTGGGGGTGAAGACAGAAACCCCCCAAATATATATATATATATATATAAAAATAGGCAATCCTTTTATTAGTGTGTATTTATTTGTGTGTCCCTGGGCCCCTTGATGTACGGTGGAGGCGTTTGTTGAGGAAGAGTCCCAGTAGGCGCACAGACCCTGGAGGATTCCTTATCCGATGAGGGCGGCGGCGCTATCCATGGCCGATCCACGATTGGAGTTCCACTGGCTTCCAGACCCTGGATTCCTTATCTAAGGGGGTTCCTTATCCAATGCCCTCGCCGTACTTGTCCTTTACCGTTCCCGTTCTGTGGTGCCGGCTCGTTGCTCTCCGGGACTCCGGCGTGTGCTCTCGGGCTCGGAGCGGCCGCCAGTGGCGAGGCGGCAGCGCAGATCCCACGCAGGTACCTCATCCTGGGGCTGGCCGTGGGCTCTGTCACGCTCTGCTGCCAGGAGCGGTTCCTTGGCCTCCTCTCTGCGCTCCTCTGATGTTGAATTTCGTCTTTCAGATTGAGACGCGTGCATGTTGTTCACTTCTAATTCTTCGAGAATTCCTGGATTTTTTGGGGCCAAGATCCTTTCATTTCTAATTGCTCCATCCTAAGGCTCTTCCTGGCCACTAGGGGGCCAGGAACAATTAGAAACGAGCGCAATTAGAAATGAGCACGATTAGGAACGAACGACGTGTGCATCTTTCGTCTCTCTTTCTCTCTCTCTCTCTCTTTCTTTTGTTCCTCTCTCTCGTCCTTTCTGCCTCGCCGCGCCGTTTATTCCGTCGCGCGGCCTTTTTCGCCTTGGGGAGGGCACCGCGGGCACCAGGGCAAACGCCGCCTCGGGAGCGGTGGGTTTGCCGTGTGGTCTGTCGCAGTGCCGGCGTCGTCTGCTTGGGGCGCGGGACGCAGGGTTTGCCGTGGGTTTGCCGTGGTGTCGGCGTCGTCCACCTGGGCGCATCGAGAGCAATCGGCGCGGCTACATACATACATGTGTTACCTATCAATATGTCTATCTCTCTATCTATCTATTTACATATGTATATCACCATCTTATCTTATGTCAGAAGCATTCAGACCGTATTCGCTTTAAAACTACCTCGCAGCTATTCTGGTTTTGGTTTCGGAAGCTGTGCGGATGACTCGGATTGCGCGTATGTTTCTGAATCAGTTTCGGTTGTCGTTTCGGATAATTTTTCCCTTTCTGTTTCGGTTTCTGTTTCGGTTTCGGCTTATGTTTCGGTTTCGGTTTCTGTTTCGGTGTTTGGTTTCTGGTTATGTTTCTTTATCGCTGTCTGCGTCCGCTTCCTTTTCTTACTATATTTATGTTTCGGTTTCTGTGCCCATTTATAAGTATGTGTTTATTTCTGCATACAGATCGGTTTATTATTCCGTGTTTGCTTCGGTGTGTATGTGTGTGGCCGTTTCCGCTCATGCGTATGTGTGCTATGTGTCAATGCGTTTGTATTGTGCATAGTTGTACGTTTGCCGTGCATTCGATGTGGGCTTCAATGTTTGACGATGTGTCGGGATCAGTCTTATACGTTTGTAGATGTGTCGGTTGTCGTGATAATTTGTTGTTGTTTCGGTTTTGGATTGTGCGTTCGTGCCTGTTTGTGGTGTGTGTGTGTGTTTGTTGCCACTTTGAGGGCCCGACTGCTAGGAGGACGGCGGGGAGACGCGTGCAATGTTGCACGCAAATCCCGCCAGGCCTCCCAAAGTCCGCGCGAGGCTGAAGAGCGCCAAGGTGTATAGGGGCGCAGTTGATGGGCTCTTCCACGGTTTCGACTACAAGGGACGGTTCATCAACCTCATGTACCTGAGCAAGTGGACCTACGGACTTGGCAACACGTGGATCCTAACGTCGATTTTGGAGCGCTGAGTTCGAAATTTGGACCCCGGCGCCACAATGGTGACGCGGCTCTGGGCGATGCCAGCGGCGTGGGCGCCAGGAATTCCAATGGCCCTGGCCATTCCGAAGTGTTGGTGGGCCGCATCTCAGATGCTGCGTTTGACGCGAATGGTGAATGCTTGTCTCCTCTCGAGGCTCGAGGCTTGTCGCTGCGATCGACGCTGGCCGCCTGTAGGGTCGCCGCCTGGCCGTCGCGGGGCTTGCCGCGCATCGCGACGCGAGCCCGTCTCTAGATCGTCGCTGGGATCACCGCCGCAGGCGCAAGGGCTGGCGCGGGAGTGGGAGCGCGCGAACATAATCGATGCCGAACCAATTTTTGTTCCCCCCCGCCGCCGGCGGAAGAGCGGGGGGGTCCGGAGGCGGAGAAAACAAGCGGCGTAAAGGCAGGATGGTAGCATCATATGTTTGCAACATCAGAATCCGAGCCGATCTCCGACACAACCCAAACCAGAGAGGGGATCGACAACGGAACCCAAATCTGAATCGCCCCGTTTCCGCAACTACAAAATCAGAAACGGAATAAACAGCGGATCCGGCTGTGAAAACGGAATCCCAGATGGAGCATTTCAGTTCCGGCTCTTCGCGGTTGCTCCCCGGTTTGGTTCCACTTGCGGTTCGCAGCTTTCGTTTCAGATTTTGTTATTGGATTTGTGTTCCTGATACCGTTTCGGATTCGGTTTTTCGCGTTTCAGAATCCATAGTGGATTTGGCCCCTCGTGCCACGCGGCCCAAGAGCGCCCCGAGGGTGGCCCGATTCGATCCCGACAGGGCTCCTGGAGGGGCACCATTAATCATAAGGGGTCCATGGTATGGGGCGGGGCTTGGGCCCCGTTTCGTAAGCTCGGAGACCGCCGCCAGAGGGGTTGAGGGAAGGGCCAACAGGGACCCCGGGGTGCCCGATGGGCCACGAGAGGGCTCCAAGAGGAACCCCGCTGGAGGTCCATGGCGCTGTCGGCGGAGTGACCCTCTCAAATGGGCGGCAGTGAAGCGCTTCGACCTCATCACCCACCAGAGGATCGACGAGGATGGCGACCAAGTGTACTCCATGCGCGTTGTCGATGTTTGTGAGACGACAACGGTTTCTGCATCTCTTTCGCTGCAGACGCCGACCACGCTTAGCGTGGTGAAGGTCATTGGTCCGCAGTCGATCATTTCAATGCACGGACCGCGACTCGACCGACATTGATCAGCCAAGGAGTCCCGCACGGCACAGCCGCTGGTCGGGGACGCCTCTGCGGGCGAATTCGAAGCATGTTCCGACCATTTCGAACAATAAAATCTCGAGTGTAAAAGTTGTTTGACATTGGCCACGATCGATACACAAGGTCTTGACTGGTCGAAAATTGTCTATCGGCTAAAGTTGCGACATCTCATCTCAGTGATGAGATCTAATGCATGGGACACTGCTGGTACTACGGAGCTCCACTGCACCACGAGCGCGCTGGGGAGCTGAGAGATGATCTAGATTGAGGAATACACTCTCCTGGTTGCTGGACGACCAGGTATATTGATGAATATGGCGGCTAGAATAGCATGGCAGGCAGCAGGTGAACAATTCTTGTGGACAGGAGATCGAGCGTGTGGTGTGATACGACGACGACTGGAGATATGTCTGGTGTTGGATATGTGTATTTACCGGTGGGGTCAGGTGTGGCCCAAGTGGATGGAGCATATGGGGCGGTGAGAGAACCGACTGCAATTTTATTAAAAAGTGGGTGGTCAATATTTTGTGGCAGGAGATTGGGGTGCATATGTTGGCAGCGAAAACCAGCAAATTGGCACAAAGGACGGTTTGGTTTGTCAACGGGGAGACCACGGCGGGAGGCCGCAGATTGATGCAGTTCATTCAGACTACCCAGAGGATGAGAATGGACAGTTTCAGATATTTGGATTCCCCAGGGACGTGGCAACATACGAATTGGATTTGGTATGATATTGATGTTTGTAATGCTGTCCTTTTGGCGTCGGAAGTCGAGTCGACAGTATTGACGCTCAAGGGAATCTTGCTTTTTTTCTGATAATCTTGCGACGTCGCACAGGGCCCGAGTTGCCCCAACGAAGTCATCAACAAAAAGCGAGCGGAGAGAGCACTGATATTTCAGAGCATCCAAGCTCAACGAAGCAAGAAGCAGGAACGTAAAGGCCGGCTTATGTTATCCCAACGGAGAGGGACATCAGGGGAGGCATCAACGTTGATAGACGAAAAACTTCGAGCGCTACGACCTCATGATGATGCCCAACATGTTCGAGTAAGTGGACCTGGCAAGTTTCATTCAGAATAATTGCGGACGGTGCGAGAGGAAGAGGGAGCATATTTTACTTGTGAGGATTGGGAAGGATCTTGGATTTGGATGTGGACGGATGGATCGTATATCAAAGGAGATGGTGCATCGGATGGAGTCGCGGGATGGGGTGTAGCTTTTATGAGCAAGGTCGCGCTCATCAGTTCCAATTCCCAGTTGCGTTGAGCGCAGGGCGCCCTGAGTTCATGGGGGCGAACGCAGCGAGCAACAATGCGGGGGAGTTGAGTGCCATTCTGTCTGGTTGTAAAGAGTCGCGCGAGCGAGTCAAAGTATGTGCGAATCGCAGCCCTGTAGTCATACTGTATGATCCCACCTGTGCTTGTCAGATGGCTACCGGCAGATGGGCGCCCAAGTCAAACATCGCTCTGGTCAAGCAAGTTCGCAAATGGGTTCGTATACCAGGCCGCGCGCGCAGTGATCTGATCTTCAAACATGTCAATGGACACAGCGGAGTGGTAGGAAATGAGGCGGCAGACAGGTGCGCTGATCGAGGTCGGGAGGGGCGCAGGAAGCATCAAAGTGCACAATCCCCGAGGGTTGTCAGAAGGCCCACTGCAACGGAGATGAACAATGATAACAGAACGAGTTCGAGCACATGGTGCAGATGGAGGAGGAGGCGGAGGAGGCGTGGTGGACGTTTCTGGAAGAACCCGAACCCGTGGACGAGCCCCTGATGTTCGATGAGCAAGAGCAGGAGGGGGCGGTGGACGAGGAGGAGAGAAAGTTATAGGACGAAGGTGGTTTCTCATCTTGGGCAGATTTACCGAAGGTGCCGGCGTCGAGCGCGGAGCAGACGGCGGGGAGAGGTAAGCTAGATAATTAAGAGCGCCGCATGCGGAGGAGGATCTGGGCCGAATTGAGAAGACGGAGAAGGCGATTGCAGAGTTGCGTGTGTGCGTGGGGGGGATGTGGGAAGCGCCCGGGTAGTGAAGAACGCAAACAGTTGCGACGAGATATGCTCTTACCCAGAAACCAGTTGAGGATCTTCAAGAACCAGGCTAAAGAGAAATGGGCCAATCAGATCATTGAAGAACTTCAAACAGCGACGGCGAGAGCAGACGCGATATATCTTTTACGAGCAGCTGAAAAAATATGGGTGCGCGCGCGGTAAGAGCGGGAGGGGCCAGGGGCTCTCGACGGCGGAGGAGGCGGCCAAGTTCGCGAGGACTGCGATGGGCGAGGGCGATGGGGGGGGGGGGGCGGAGGAGACACTAGCACGCGGCGGTATCTGTTGATGATCGGTTAGACGTTCCCCCAGATGTGGATGAGGTCACGCGCGCGACTGCAGAGGCGAAGGAAAGCCCGTCGGGAGAGGACGAGGTATCTATTCATATGACCAAAAGGGGTGAGGATCTTGTGGTGACTGAGATTGCGAAGTTGATTCGTACGGCGTTGCGCCAGGGCCCCGGGGAATGGGGGGGCGTTCTGAGCACTGCTGTAGGTGCATTGCTGTGAGAATGGAGATCGCTCACATGTTGCTAACTACCTTTGGTTCTGGCGTATTGCTGTTTTTAGTCGTATCATGGCGAAGGTGTTGGCCACCCGTCTCAGGGGTCATTGTGGACGTCATGGGTTATGGCCTGAGACGCAGTGGGGCTGTCGACGGTATCGTCCAACGATGGGCCCAACATGTATTCTTCGAACCGCATTAGAACTTCTGGCATGGGCGAAAGCTTTGGGCACCCGGGGGGGGCCCGGAGAAGGACGTAGCGCTGGAAATGGTTGATGTTCGCACAGCATGTCCACGCGTTGTTCGATCTGCGATGGGGTCGGTCCTCATTAAGAACGGGGCGCCACCGAGATGCTGTAGGTTGATGCTCGGATTACATCGCGTGACGTTGTGCACTATGCGCGCCCGGAGCGGGGGCAGCCGGCCCTTCCGTCTCTCGCGTGGGCTTAGAGAAGACTGCCCGAGTAGTCCAGGACAATTCAGCCTGCATCGTGCGCGTGCGATGTAGGCTTTAACTCATCAGACATCGACTCAGCATGCGGAGGCGGGCGCAGCGGCGGGCAGCAGGAAGGGGGGGGCGATTGCGAGAGGGGGGGGGGGGGATCTCAAGTGCGCGCCCCTCGGGGAGACGAATAGGTTCTTGGAGCTCCTGTTCGCGGACGATGCCGGCGTTGCTGTGCCAGCCGCGTAGAGAGATTCGATCGAACGGCTCTTGAGACCGCGTCGCGGGCGTGGGGGCAGGAAGTTGCACCCGAGAAATACGAGCGCCTGCGCTCGGGGGAGATGAAACCAGAGGAATCGGCTGAGTACCATTCTGCAGTTCGGTTCCTTGGGGCCCGGGTCCAGAATGACGGAAAACACGACCGAGATGCCCAAGAGCGACTCTGGCGCAAAGTATTGAGGCAAATTCTTAGATGGGGACTTCGACCGAAGACCCTGGGCAGACTTGCGAAGTCCACGGTGTCGGCAGCTCTGTTGCGCGGACGTGAAACTCGCAGTTTCTCAGCAGCGCAGCTGAACTCGTTCGAGATGCTCTGGAATCGGGTTGCAGGGGGGATTGGAAACCAGAAGATTAGAGAGACCGTGGGGGGAAGATCGCGATGCAGGATTTGAGGGGGAGGTACGAGGTGGACACGATTAGGGTATATGTGGGCCAGAGACAGTTGCAGCTCTTGGGACATGCCGCATGACTGCCTGAGCACCGATTGGAGAGGCGCATTTTGTCCGGACGGTCATCGGGCTTTGCGGGGTGCGATCGTGATCGCGCGAGGGCTGCGAGGCCGTCGGCTCGTAGCCAGCATGAGAAGAGGGTGGGGGAGGCATTGGAGGTGGCGGAGGTGGGAGGGGGCGCCAGGTATAGGAGGGAGAAGGCGTGGATGGAGGCAGCAAGCAGTCGTTGGAGCTGGATGGGAATTACCCGCATGCGGGTCAAAGCCGAGCGAGATAAAGATCACGAGAAGACGTGGGAGCATCAAACATAGACCAGGAGGAGCAGCAGATGCAACTCTCGCTCGGCAGCAGGGGCTGGCACAGTGCCCGTTCTGTTTGGCCGATGGCATCGCGGACCATTGGCTTTCTCGACAGTTGCGCGCTCATATCTTGCAGCGCAGAGCTCGAGACGCTGGCCGCAGACACGAGGCCGCCGCGGAGAGGAGACGTCGTCCGGCGCAAAGAAGTGCAGGAGCGGGGGGACAGGTTGGCCTCGCAGTTCCGAGACAGGATCGACAGAAAGCCGAAGCTGCTCGGCTTGCTCGCATCCAGGCTGCAGTTGCTGTCGTTATTGTGATCCCCCCCTGTGAAACGACGTTGCGTTGGAATGTGGATTCCCCCCCTGCGTGTCGCGCCTCCGCCCGGGCCCCTTGCGTCGAGTCCGCGGCGAGCAACCGCGTCCCAAACGCGCGGCCGCTCCGATGGCTGAAGCTTCTCCGGGCGCTAGTCCTGATCGCGGGGGGCATCGAGGTAAATTTCGGAGGGGGGCGGAGACGCATCAAATATTGAAGGAGGTTGCACCCGTGGATATCAGACATGCCCTGAGGCGGGCGTGGGATGAGGCGGAGGATCAGATCGCGGGTGCGTCGCCGAACATCAAGCAACATATTGAGGGGGCTCGAAGGAAGAGGGAGGGGGAAGGGGGGCAAAGGGCGAAAGGATAATCAGCGCACCAGAGTTTACACATCGGTCATCCTTCTGGAGGCTGGAGCACTCATACTGGCAAAGCTATGACCGGGGAAAGTAAGGAATCACATCCCAGAGGCGAGCTTTAAGAGACAATGTCGAGGAAAAGGATTGTCGCGTGTGTAGTACGTGTTTTCGATGTCGTGAACATGGGTGTTGTTTTTGTGGTACATATGGGATGGGGCTGTGCTGCGTGTACGAAACCCGCTAGATGTAGGAGTACTATTGATGACGAAGAATGGAAAGTGGCAGAGATTATCCTAGCGAGGAGAGGGTGCATACCTGCGCCCATTCAAGGACTCCGGAGGCCCCCTCGTCCTGCTGGCGCAGCCCCATTTCAGTGTCAATGGCGTTCTGAAATATTCGCCAATATTACACAAACAGCTGGCCATGAGCGTGCATGTGTACCTGTGCCGTATGATATGTGGATAGCACGTTCACGACACTGCCTCAGTACCCAGAAAGATCCATCAGTTTGTCGAATGCATTGTTACACGTGTTTTCAGACGACGAGAGGTGCGGTTCAACATGAAAAGAATTGTGCGCAAATGAGAGAGTTTGCTGGACGACCGTTGAATCAAGGTGCAACACAGCAGAGGATGCAGCGAAGTTGTGACTTGTGGGTCTTGGTGGGGATCCCAGTGTGTTCATCACCCATGTGCATGGGCTGTGTTATGATCAGTGTATCCATTGGCGTTTCGGCTGTACTTTTTTGTGCAGAGTATTTTCTCATGGAATTTGAGTTATTTGATACTGGGGCCCCTGCCGCAGTGACGTCCGACATCCTCGGGGCAGTCAAGAACGCCAAGAAGAGGGCGGGCGAACCGATCCAGAAGAAGAAGAAGGAGACATGGTACAGCAAATCATCGGAATGTTTAGACAACTATCCCTTGAGGTAGGCGACCCGAGATTATTCGATGTTCAAGTAGCATTCGAGACAGTTCCAACACGCGAAGAGTATGGTATGTCTTTTCAAAACCCCAGAGATAAAGGAGGTAATGGCGCAGTCGGCCACGCAGTGGGACGACGACCGCGTCGAAACCACACCCGGGCAGAAGAATAAACAAGAGTTCCCCTCTCGCCCGCCGGGCCTGGATCGGAAGTATACCTGGGTGCTCACGCGCGCGATGGGTGCGCGGGAGTCAGAGAAGAAAGAGGCGGGGGAGCAAGAGGGGGCCGAGATCTGCAAGAGTCTGATGCAGATTCCTGTTTATCGAGCGCGATCAGATCGCCGCAGTGTTCAAACCGCCTTTGGATACACCGACAGAGGGAAGGACTTGGACATGTGATTGGGTGCTCGGAGAATTTGTGCCCGACCAGATCAAGGCCATGATCTTTGTTCTTGTGTCCAAGTTGAAAAAAGAGGAAGGTCGTCTCGGCAGAGTTCAGCAAGCAGGTCCCGCAGGTGGAGTCGGAGTCGCAGCTGTGGGCCTGGTTGAAGAAGCAGAATCGGATCTAGATGTTTTCAGGAGGCGCTCGGCCCCCCTCTTTCAGACCTGCTTCTGGCGCGGTGGGCAGACGAGGGACGCGATGCACCTGCTCAGCACGGCCCGCGTGCTGCGGGCGCGGAGCTCTTTGGACGAGGCTCTCCGGTTTGGATGGTTGCTGTTGTGGTTACCGACGCTTATAGAGGAGAAGGAGCAGCCAGTTTTGTAGAGCTGCATCCTGGGCAGGTGCGCCTCGAGTCGAATTTGTTTATGTGCATGGTTTTGGTCGAGGGTGCCTTCTCATCTTTCATGGTGTACGTGGCGTTAATGGTGAAGAAGATCACCGACGTCCTTTACATGCAAGTCCATGGCATAGAGTGGGACTTCGGTTCCCCCGCGAGGCTCCTGAACGGCCCTCAGAGGGGTTTAAGAGAGGCCCGAGAGGACCCCAGGGGGGGAGGCCGAGGCGCCCCGAGAGGGCTCCAGCAGGGGCCCACTGGCTATGAGGAAGATCATGGAGGCGTCGCGCGGCGCGTAATCGTTGTATTATCTAGTCCACACGTCAGCTCCGCAAGCTACGGGTCGACGCTCGCGAGGCGATGCTCCGGCGCAAGTCCGACGTAGATCCGACGTCGTCCCGACGCTGCCCGACGTGAGCCCGACGTGAATCCGACGTGGATCCGACGTACATCAGGTCTCAAATTGCCGCGCGAGGCCTCCAGGATGTCCCTCATAACGTTGGATACGTAAATGATTGTATATGTATACGTATATGTATATAATATATTCGTAGCATCATACGGGTATAATGGAAATGCACACACTAACGAACATAAGCGAATCATGTATAGACCCATCCATGAGTTATTCGCACGCGGAAGGCAGAGGCATGGCTGGGAGGATGGAGGAGGGATGGGGGACGTGGATGGGACGCGTTCCTTGCCCTTTCAGAATGAGGACCCAACATCACAAGATGGTCGGGGGGAAAAACAAGCAGACCTCGAGGCCCCAAGAGTGTTCAAACATAGCCCCAAGAGAGCCCAACCACCAACCAACGCGCGCAGCACGGCGCAGCTGTTGCGTCACATTGCGTGGCTTCGGAGCTCCACTTTAAAGCCCTCTTTGGGCCCTCCCGGAATCCACATGGTGCCCTTTGGAGCCGTGCTGGGCCCTCTGGAAGTTTCTTCGGGGCCCCCTGGAACGCCAGCGGGGCCCCCTTGAAACCTTTTTCGCAAAGCCCGCCGAGGAACCCGCACGCCGCGGGCTCCGTCGACGCCCTTCGGAACGATTTCTGGGGCCCTGCGATACGGTAGGGGCGTTGGTTAAGGAATGCGCCCAGGGGGCTGCAGACCCTGGGGGGTCCTTATCGTCTGAGGGCGGCGGTGATATCCATGGCCAGTCCGGGTGATCAACTGGCTTCCAGACCCTGGATTCCTTATTCAGTTGTTCATTATCCAATGCCCTCACCGCATCATCAATGTGCCGCATGGGTGCCGAGACAGCTTTCGGAAAACCCGTTGGCCCCCCCCTGTTCCTCCACCTCTACTTCGCCCGCTACGCAGCCATTTGGGCTCTCTCTGCGCCCGCGTGCCTTCTCAGCGAAAACGGTGCACCTGCGCATTCGCGCGCTCGTGCGTTCTGATTGCTGCGCTTGCGCGTGCGCGCGCATGCGTTCTGATTGCTTCGGCGGCGCAGGGCGGCAAACGTCGAATTCCGCGAGGAGGAGCGAAACACGCAACCAGCAAGTTAAACAAATTGCCCGGTTGCGGCCGCTCCAGTACAATGGCGCAGGCGAGGCGGGTGTTGCGGGCAAACGCAAAAGCAAGGACGAAAAAATGCATGGACAAATGCACTGGCGAGAATGGCGTTGCAGGGCAGGGCGACGGCGAGAACTGCGGCAGTGGCAAGGGCGAGGGCAATACGAGCACAACTACAGGCCAGGGCAATGGCAGGGACACCAGCGTGGGCAAGGACGAGGGCGCTTCGGGGCAGAAAAGAAGCATGATCTTGGCGCAGTGCGATCACGGCGAGAAACTTAGGAGACCATCGTTTTACCCACCCAAGAGATAACACGACCCCCCCTTGCCCCACCACCCGCAACTGTAACGCCCCGGCCTGGTTTTGCGCGCGATTCCAAGCAGGTCAGGGTTTGTGGTGCACGCGGGCACTACCAGTGCTGCGGTGCACGCGTATACGCAGGCACCGCGGTTTGCGCAAGCGTTGCGGCGCACGGATTTGTCATTGCAGCAGCAAGTGTGGCGCGAGCAGGCACAGTTGGTGTACGCAAGCATTGTGGCGTACACATCTCAAGCCTTGTGGTGCACAATCGCTGTAGGTCGCAAGCCCGCTATGGTGTAAGCGTGCGATGTGGGCTATAATGCGCCCGCGCATCTCTTCCTACTTTTTCCTCCACCTCCCCTTTCATTATCGCCCCTTCTTGCGCATGCAGGGCGCGGGCACTAATGGCGATGGGGGGGAGGAGGAGGCGAAGAAGGAAGAGGAGGAGGAGGAATAATTCGATAGATGCGCGCAGGCTGCGCGCGGTGCATCACGCAGATTCGCTGGCGGTTTCGCCCGCGGATTCTTGCGGCAAGTTTCTGTTTCGATGAGTGTGGGCAGTTCGGCGGTGCGGTTGGAAAAAGAGCGCGGACCCCGAGCTGTCGACCTCGTCGTGGGGTTCCTTTTGCTCCTCCTCCTCCTGTTGGTGCTGCTGGTCCTCCTACTTCTCTTGCGTGCATGCCCTCGGCGGACGTCGCTCCGCGCGCCCCCAAGCCGCGCGGTGTTCGCTTCGAGGGCGCCGTGGTGCGCGCAGTTGCCATGGCGTGCGCTGCCGCTATGACGCGCACAGGCTTTGTGGGCCCAAAATTTCCGAGTGTTCCTTGGGCCAGAAAAACAAATACCCACAACCAACTCAGATATTGAATATGATCCGTTCGGGCCCCCCGGCGATTTTCCAGAGTTTGGTTCAGTCGGCACCTTCAGGTGTACACAAGCTTTGTGGTGTGCGCATGCACTGCGGTGCACAGGGAGTCTTGAAGCAGCGCCTGCGGTGCGCGCGGGCGCCGTGGTCTGCGCAAACAGTGCGATGTACAAAGGCCCTGTGGTGCACGCGGTTGTTACGGTGTATGCAGTCGCCGCGGTGCACGCGCACACACGCGTATGCCACGTCTGTGGCAGTCCTGGTGCACAAAGGCATTGCGGTGTACGGAGCCCGCGATGTGTGCGCAGGTGTTGGGCTTGGGCGGCGACGACGACGACGACGACGACGACGACGACGTGGGCGGCGCGCCTCGGGGGGTGCGCGCCGCGGCACCCATCGCCGTTGCCCCCCCGCCAGGCCCCCAGCGCGCGTTACCCCCCTGGAATGAAACAAAATATCTCGAGCCACGGACCGGCTGCTTCCCTGCGTCGGCTGGTGCAGCATGGGCGCAACAAGCACCCGCGTTCCAATGGCGCGGCGCCTAGACAGGATAATCGAGAACACATGCAAAAGGCGTCGCATGCCGCGGGGCTGCCAGGACGCCATCTGCAGCGTTTGGGGGTCAGTTGACATGGGTCTTTGGATTCCTCTCGTCGTTATCCCTTTCCACACCATTGTCACTTACTTTATAACAGACACAGACATGGCGTGGCACTCCCAATGTCGACTTCGGGGACATCTTGGGCTGTGTTGGGGTTTTGTGGAGGGGTATTCCAAGCCCGGAAGTCTCGGGTGACCCTTTCAAGGAGCGTGCAAAAAACACCCTGGACCAGTGTTGGGGGGGGTCATTGTTGCGGGGGGGCGCAGGGTTCCGCTCAATAGAAATATATGAAGGGTTGTACATGCACCTCTCGCTCTCTCGCTATCTCTTTCTCTCTCTCTCTCTCTCTCTTTGTTTTTTTTGCTGTCTCGATAAAGCTCGTTTCCTCTATTCCTCTCTAGATATGTCTTGCTCTCTCTCTCTCTCTTTCTCTCCCTCTCTCTCTCTCTTCCCCCTTTTGTTTGTTCTCTCTCTCTCTCTGTCTCTCTCTCTCTCTCTCCCTCGCTCTTTCCCATATTTCTCTGTAGTTCGGTCCACCCACCCGTCGCCCGCATGTTTGTCTGCCAGTACCACCTCTTTCTATGCCGCTTCCGTCTCTCCCAATTCCTGCAATCCCAGTCGTGATTATCCGTCTTCCTCGTTCGTCTTGATTTGTTGTCGCTGGCCATAGATAGGCCTGCATGTTTGGCTGCTTCTTTCCCGCAGAAGGCATCTGTACACCACCACCATGCTTGGTTAGGGCAGTCCCGAACCCCAGGATGGTTGCCTCGGCGAGGAGGGCGTTTTCACCATCCCAGGGCTTAGGACCGTCCTGACCAGGCACGGTGGTTGTTTATAGGTGCCGTCTGCGTATTATTGTTTTGGCATGCCGCTGCCTGCAGGCCTACCACCCGCACTGGGCGACCCACACCGCGTGCCGCTTCCTCCAGGCCGGCGCTGGCGGGATCTGAGGGCACCGCAGCAGTCCTGATCGTGCGAACGCACCGTGTTTCATTTAACAGGCCTGATGCGGAAACAGTAGGGCAACGAGATCCACACGCGTCCGCGGCCGCTGGCCAGGTTTCAACCTGTGGCCACTCGCGGTGTAAACACCCCCCTGGCTTGGCCAGGGAGGCATACGCACCGATCCTGAGCCAAGGAAGGCCTGGCCAATGGCAGAGGATCTATGTATAGATACATCGAGCTGTATAAATTACGCATGTATGTATGTTTGAGATGTATGTATGTATGCTTGGTTGTAGGTATGTATGTATATGTATGTGCATGCACGTAGGGATGCACGTATAGCTCAGGAGGCCTTCATCCCAGGAGCTCACGAAAGGTGTGACAATTGCGCAGTTGGCAGCCCCCTGAGGGAGAGCGAGGACTCATTCGGGTCCGCGTTTGCCCCGCACCCCGATGGACCTCCCAGGAGCTCGCACAAGCGGCGGCAGCTGCGGAGTTGGCAGCACCCCAGGCAGGGCGAGGACCCAGTTGGGTCCGCGTGGACCCCGCACCCCGCTGGACCTCCCAGAAACTCCCGGAAGTGGTGGCTGTTGCGAATTTTCAGGAATCTTGAAGAATCCGTCGGGATCCCGAGGGATCCTGAGGAAGAATCCAAATACATCCTGAGGACACATGGGGGACCCTCAGGAACCCTCAGGAAACGATAGGAATCCGGAGGATACCTGAGGCTCTTGGGTGCTCCCAGGCGCACCCAGGTGCAACCCCAGGCGCTCCCTGGCGTTCACAGGCGCTTCCAGGCGCGACCACGCGCTCCCAGGCACACCCCAGGAGCTTTCTGGCGCTCCCAGGCGCGCTCCCAGGTGCATTCCCAGGCGCCCCCCCAGGCTTCCCAGGCGCTCCCCAGCGCACTCCCAGGCGCTCGCACGCGCATCCAGGCACTTCCCCGCGCTCTCACGCGCTCCCCTGGCGCTTCTTGGCGCTCCCAGGCGCGCCCCCAGGCGCACGCGCAGGCGGCCCCCCCGGGCGCTCCCAGGCGCCCCCGGGCGTTCCCAAGCGCACTCCCAGGCGCTCCCAGGCGCCCCCAGGCGCGTTCCCAGGCGCCCCCAGGCGCGTTCCCAGGCGGTTCAGGCGTTCCCAGGCGCACTCCCGGGCGTTTCCAGGCGCCCTAAGGCGTTCCCAGGCGCGCTCCAGGCGTTCCAGGAGCTCCCAGGCGTTTCTCGGCTCTCCCAGGCGCGGCGCTCCCAGGCGCGCTCCCAGACGCCGTTCCCGCTTGCTCTGGTATTGATTTGCTGTGTGTGTGTGCTTTCATGTGGTTTGATAGGATGTGGTTTGGTGGTGTATATGTGCTGTGCATGTATGGTGTCTGTGTTGTGTATGTTTGGCACATGTGTTGTATATGTATTGTGAACGCTTTGTATAGATGTTGCGTGTGTCGTATATATGAAAACATAGGCGTGCATATATAAACATATGCATACATATACATGTATGTATGTTTATATGTGTTGGGCATGTTGGCGTATGTCTTATATATGGTTTGTATACGTGTGCATATGTGTTGTATGTGCGCTGGTTGCGAATACTGCGTGGTTTGTAGATGTTTCGCATATTGAATGCATGTGCTGCATCTGCTTTGCATACGTGTTGTTTAAGTTATGTACATGGTGTGGAGATGTGCTGTGCATAATTTGTAGTTGGTGTGTAATGTGTTGTACATGCGTTGGGTATGGTGCATCTGTGGTTTGATTGTATGTGTGCGTAGTTTGCCACTCGTGTTCCAGATGTTTTGGATATGTGGGTACACGTGCTCCATATGTTGTGTAAGTGTTTCTATATGTGTTGTATGTGTTACGTACATGTATCCTACATTTTTCTTGGTGCTATTTATTTATATATATAGATGTGTTTATATGTATGTGTATCATGTGTACGTGTTTCTACACACGTGCTGCAGCTGCCCATAATTATTACACATGCTACCTAATTGTTTTGTATATTTGTTTTGTCTGTGTTGTACGTGTTTTGCACTTGTTTGTACATGCTGTCTATATGTTCCTGTATGTGTTGAACACGTTTATGTATGATTTGCTTCTGTATTCTCAATGTTTCAAAGCATGTTGCGCATGTTTATGTATGCGTTCGCATGTTACCACTATGTGTTGTATTTTTGTTGTGGATCTGTGCACGGTGTCTGTATAGGTGTTTCACAGGTGCTGTACATGTTTTGTACATGGTCTTGATATGTGTGGGCATATTCGGTTTTGCTTGCGCCAGACGTGTATAATGTGTGTGCATTTCTGGTTGTTGTTTGACCGTCTCTGAATGACCGTATATGTTCGATGTGTTGTCTATATGGTGTTCAATGGTTTGCACATGTGTTCTAATTGTTTTCGATATGCTTTCTATGTGTTGTGTAATTGTTTTCTTCTTTTTTGAGGCCGCGCGGCCGCAGCACAGGGACCCCCTTCTTCCTTTACACGTGTACATTCAGCAAACAGGGTGCGGTCAGCCCTAGTAGTCGTAGTGGTAGTGGTAGTAGTAGTAGTAGTAGTAGTAGTAGTAGTAGTAGTAGTAGTAGTAGTAGTTGTCGTCGTCGTCGTCGTTGCCGCCGTCGTCGTCGTCGTTGAAGTCGTAGTAAAAATTATAGTCATAGTCGCAGTAGTAATTGTAGTCGTAGTAGTAGTAGCAGCAGAAGTAGCAGTGGTCGCAATACTAGTAGTAACAATAGAAGTTGTAGTCGTAATAGTAGCAGTAGTACTCGTAGTAGTAGTCGTCGTCGTAGTCGTAGTAGTCGTAGGGTAAGTAGTGCTAGGATTGTTTGTAGTAGTAGTAGTAGTTGTCGTAGTAGTCGTAGTAGTACTACTAGTTCTAGTGCTAGTAGTAGTAGTAGTAGTAGTAGTAGTAGTAGTAGTAGTAGTAGTAGTAGTAGTAGTAGTAGTAGTAGTAGTAGTAGTAGTGGTAGTAGTCGTAGTAGTACTTGTCGTAGTCGTGGTCGTAGTAGCAGTAGTAGTAGTGGTAGTCGTAGTAGCAGTAGTAGTAGTAGTAGTAGTAGTAGTAGTAGTCGCCGTAGCAGCAGTAGTCGTAGCAGTCGTAGTCGCCGTTGCAGCCGCAGCAGAAGTAGCAGTCACAGTCGAGTAGTAGTAGTAGTAGTAGTAGTAGTAGTAGTAGTAGTAGTAGTAGTAGTAGTAGTAGTAGTAGTAGTCGTAGTCGTAGTCGTAGTCGTAGTCGTAGTCGTAGTAGTAGTAGTAGTAGTAGTAGTAGTAGTAGTAGTAGTAGTAGTAGTAGTAGTAGTAGTAGTAGTCTTCGTAGTAGTAGTAGTAGTAGTAGTAGTAGTAGCCGTAGTAGTAGTAATTCTGGTAGTAGTAGTAGTAGTAGTAGTAGTAGTAGTAGTAGTAGTAGTAGCAGTAGTCTTGGTAGCACTCGTAGTAGTAGTCGCAGTAGTAGTAGTAGTAGTAGTAGTAGTAGTAGTAGTAGTAGTAGTAGTAGTCCCAGGAGTAGCCGTAGTACTTCAAACCGTAGTAGGGTAAACAGCACCTGGGCCGTATAATAAAACAGTCAGGGCTACGTGTGTACAATCGGTTTTTTAGGGTCAATTCGCTTCTGTTCGCAGTGAATGGTCCATTCAACTGCTCGCGCAATCGTCCCACCCACCGACCCGCAACTTTGTTTGCGAAACCCATGCAGGGCCGATTGCGATGAGTGCTCGGAGTTTGCTGGTGCATCTCTGCGGCCGCGCTAGCCCGCGCATGCTCGCGCTCGCAGCGGCGAGATAGTTTGGCGTTGCCGACGCGGCCGCGGTGGCGCTGACCGTTGGGCACTTCCCAGCGGGCGCTTTAGTGCGAGTCGGCGACGTGGGCCTGCGCGGTATCATGGCAAGGTCGGCACGGGCAGACGCGATGATGTCAACGACGACGGCGGCAATGTCGGCGACGGGGCCGATGTTGATCACGCCGATTTCGATGACGGTGCCCTCGCGTCGGTGATGCAGGTTTTGGAAGGAGTTCGTTATGCGCGCGCGGCCGACGCGCGCGATTGGCCCTCATAGAATTTTTTGACACGGATCGTGTCCCCCCTCCCCAGCATGCGCTCAAGGGCGTTCGAATGGTTTTGACGTGCGGCGCGACGGGCCCGTATGGCCGAATCTCACCAATATTTTGAAACACTTTCGGTTTTCTGATCTCGCAGGAGAGCGAACGCAAGCATTTCAAAACACTGATGTTGCAAAACCATCAGTTTTGATATTTTTCAGGGCACTGGATGTTGAACTCCTTGTGACAGATTCGGTTTCTGGACGGTTTTTGGCATGCGCGCGCGACGATGCGCGCGTACGCTCTTCGTCCCATGTGTTGCAAAAGTATGTTTGCGACAGCGCGCGCGCGCAAAAGGGCGTTCGAACGATTCCGACACGCGCGCGCGAGAGGCCCGTTTTGCAATACGTTCTGACAGTGTTGGAACAACCGATGCTTTTGTGTAGAAATCGCAAGGGCCCGAGCGCACACTTATTTGGAATATTCGTCCTGCGAGACCATGCGTTTTGTGTGTTTTCAGGAACCTAGATTTTGACACCCTTACGAAACAGATTGCTTCTGAAAGATTGCTGCTTGCGCGCGCGACGATGCGCGCGTGTGCACATCGTCCCGTTGTTGGCAAGGGATGTTGTGAAAAATCTGAGTTTTGGTAAGCGAGTGCGCGCGCATAGTATGTTTTGCAATTGATGGGGGGAAAGGTGCAGAGGATACCGTCCTGCTTGGGATGGTATGAGTTCACAGTTCGGGTGGACGACGCGGCATAATCATATGTAGATTACATTACGAGAATGTGAACCGTTAGTCCCGAGGGGGTGAACCCTCATAGTAGAAAAGGAGAATCTAGGGGGACGCGCAGTTCCAAACGTCACCTCTGGCCGGGTCTTCTTGTAGGGGTCGGAGCAGCGCTCCAACCTCGGCGATCATCATGTTACCTCACAGGAGCCCGTTCGGAGTCCTGAAGGGACTCTTTCGTTTCTTGCTGAATATTGGCAAACCCAAAAGAGTTATGACAAATATAGAAGAGTGTTTTTTCGTTTGTCCCGTGCCTTTTCTTGATGATTCCTTAAAGGTTTCCGAATTCCTCAAAGTTCCGGAGGGACCTTCGGGAAGCGTCGCGATCACGCAGGATCCTTCATGCAGGGAACTTTTCCAGGGGACCTCCCGGGTGATAGTTTTTTATCCCCGGGCCCGTTTCTCACGATTCCGGGGCCTGAAAACGGTTCCACAGGCCGAAACCGACGAAAGATTAAAGGCGGCGACGAAGACAAGCAAATCGACGAGTACAGCTGCATCGCATCTCCAGGGCAGCGCAGCATGGATCAACGGTGCTGCCACGCCCTCCAGCCCCAAATCCCTTTTTCATGATTGCCTGCAACCATTCGTGGTCGCCACGGAGGGCGCCCCATGGAAGACGAAGGCCCCTTTGGCCCGCAATCCATGCGAGGGCTTCTTTTGATGAGGAAGTGTCATGCGTCCTTATTGCAATACGGAATGCGAAGAGGTATGATCCGACCGTTCAACGACATGTCCGGCGGGGGCGCCGTTCTTTTGAGGGGCCGCCTTTCTTTTCCGCCGCTGCTGCGTACGCCTACTCTCGGGGCCCTGTATCGTCCAGAGAGTCTTGCATCCTTCGTGGAATACGATGGCGGCATTGTATCGGCGGCGAGCGAGGGGGAGACATCAAAAGGATAACACTTTTTTCAGAAAGCAGCGGGCCTTTTCAGAAACCCTCGCGCCTTCTCTGCAGTTTTCTGTGCGTTCGGGGAGAACTTTGGACACTTTTCAGAAGGCTGGGGGACTTCCGAGCCTTCTGAGAAGGCCCGCCCCTTCTCACTTCCCCCTTGGCTCCGCTGGTGCAGAATGCATCGTCGCGCGGCGCTGCCGCCCCTGCTCTCGGCCTGGCAAGTGCCCTCCTGGAGCAGCCTCCGCCGTGGTGCCCTCCCTGGCCCTCGCTGCGTATCGCTTTCCGAGCCCCCCTTCGATTTCCCCGCCCCGGTGCTCGCCGCCGATTGCCCGACTGTTCCCGCCGGGCCTCCGAGGGCTTCGCCGGGGCGTTCATCTTCTTCTACGCGTTCCTCCTCTCCGTCGAGCTCTTCAGCGGCCCGCGCGCCTGCCTCCCCTGTGCGCGCCGCCGCGGAGGGTGCCCTTTGGGGTGTCTCTCGGCCTCTCTCTTCGGTTTCCTTGTTCCTCCCCCCTCCCCCTGCCTCGTCCTTCCATCCTCCCCACCCCCGTCCCTCCTCCGCCCCTCCCCTTTCCCCGCGATCCTTCTCCTCCTCCTCCTCCTCCTCCGCCTCCTCCTCCTCCTCCTCCTCCTCCTCCTCCTCTTCCCTCCCTCTCATCCCTCCTTTCTTCTTATCGGTTCGAACTGTGTTTTCGTCTACGCTGCCTGACTTTCCAGTTTTTTTCCGCGGCCACTTGGTGTTCACAGGAGCTCCGTTTCGTACCCGTTTCCAACTTGCATTAGACACGCACGCATTCCGCACCCAGGTAAAACAATCCCCTTGCCACCACATCCGCACTCATAGTTGGTAGCGGAGCAACATTCCGATATACCGTTTTTGCCGCGCCATGGCCCGCGCGGCATCTCCTCCAATCTTGTGTTTTGCTTCTCCTACCCCATCATCTACGTCATGTTCGGCAGGGTTCCTTTGGATTCTCCTGACAGCCGCATTCAGCCCTTGTGCCCGCTAACTCAAGGACCCCCCCTTACCTCAACAACTACATGTCCGAGGACCACAAAGACGATTACCTGGACAAAAACGTATTCAAGAACTACAAGGAGTGCGGCGCCCACCCGCCGCCTCAGCCTGCATGTTTGCTGGGGCACGCCCCAACTGTGTTGGCGCCGCTTTCGGCACCATGCGCCGGATTGATCGTTGACAATACGGACTTGTTACCATCAACAGCTTCAGCCCGTGGCCCCAGGCGCCTCGCAAATGCGCTGCGGGCGTTTTGGGAAACGCAGGCGGTTAAGAGCACGGAGAAGACTGGGAATTCGGTGGAGTGTTGGACACTTGTGTTGTCATATCCCCACGGGACTGTCGAGCTGGCGTGGGATTACCTGTCTACGTTCTCTTGGCGCCCGACACGTCAGCGAATTCACCGACTTTCTGCAGACAGGCAGGACGAGGTCCCGATGCGCACCCTTCTGGACTATGACCATGTATCCAATACAGTGGCGTTGCGACGCACGATGGACATCCGCGCAACTATGTCGCGGGGTGTCCCGAGCGCGACGACAGCCGTAACGACGCGAGAAATGACAAGATCCAATGCGCGGACGGAGAGGAACGCATCCGGGGAAGGGGCCCAAGGCGGCTCCGACGCTCATGGTCAGAGCCAGGCCGTCGGCGGTCGGCGGGCCCCCGGCCTCTGGCGCCTCCTCAACTTCTGGAGGGACTTCCGCTCCGTATGGAAGGCCATCGGAGTGGGCGCGCTCGCCCTGGCCAGCTGATTCAGCTGCGTGAGCGCAGGGGGCGACGACGGCAGCGTGCGCCACCTCCGCGCATAGGGGCCCGATCAACAGTCGGGCCCCCTCCCATCGTTGGTCGCAGGAGGTGATGATTTGGTCAGTGGCGAACTCGGACCTCCGCGAGTTTCGCCCTCGCCTCGTCGCGACTCGCCGGGGCGGCCCGAGAACGCGTGGACGAGCGGCCGCCGGATGTCGCTCAGGGAGGCGCCGTCGACGGCGACCCATGCCACCGATGTTGCGCTTTTTGGCCGAACGCCAGGGCCAACTGGGCGAGGCGGAGAGCGCCTCGGCGCACTCAGCGCTCATGAACTTCAACCCGCTGCCGCGGGGGCGCAAGGGCGACCTCCTCGCGCGCTTCGACGTCCTCCGCAACCGCGCCCAGCAAGCCGGTCAGGTCGCGGTGGGCTACGAGGGGCTCAGCTCCCCCCTTTCCGCGCGGCGGGGGCGTCAAGCGCGCGGCCGACAGTGATCTTGCAGCGCGACAACACGGGATGCCCGACCAACGCAGCGCAATTCGCACAGATGACGGGCTAGTTGCGACGCTTGGGGCGCGCGATCAAGGAGCCGCCCGGCAATGTCGCCTCAGCGGCTCAGTCGGCCCAACAGCTGATCGGCCTCGCGGGCGCGCCCGCGCAAGACCAGGGTCAGAGTGCTCGTGGTGCTGCAGCCGGATCGAGCTGGGGCGATTTGGGCCCATCAGCGCTGGGGGCGGCACGGAGACCACCTGCGCCGCCGCCGCCAGGTCAAGGGGCACTCCCGGCCGCTGCCATCGACCCAGGCGCCGACGCCGACGCCGTCTGCTCATCCGGCGAAGGTGAAATTGCCGCCGACGACCCCGAGCTGCGCGATGCCCCCGTGGAAAAGCGAGGCGCGCGCCTGTTTCGGGCACGCGAGCGCGCCGAAGCACGGCGGCGACGCTTTGGCGCCCGCGAGCCCGCGGCTCGCGCCCGGGAAGTCATCGAGAGGAGGCAAGGGTCGCGGCGTGGGCTGCCCAGCCTTCCTGGCCGACTCGCCCGAAAATGTCATCCGAGAGACGCGCGCGGTCCTCGGATGGGGGCAGGGTAAGGGGGGAGGGGGGTTCAGGGCCAGCGGCATGGGCGCGGGCCGTCAAGGTGGCCCCGTGGCCGGCGGGGCGTGTCTCGGGCGCCGCGAGTGCGACGCCGAGGAGCGCCCCGTGCGAGACTGCCCCCGGCGCCGCGACCACGGCCGCGCGCTCTTTTTCGACGCCCGCGCCCCGGCGCTACCGGCGCCCGCGCCGCTGTCAGCCCTGGGGCAGCAAGGGCCGCGCGGCCAAGCTGAGCACAGGCCCCCGACGAGCACGCGCGCGGTTTGGGCGATCAGGGACTCCGCCAGCCATGGGCGGATTATTTCTGCTGGCTCGGGCGCAGGGCAATGGTCCCTGGGGTGGTGGACAGCCTGCGCCTGCATCGGCAGCGCCGCGGCTGGCCGCGGCAGCGGCGGCAGCGACTTCGCCAAGTTCTCGCCCCGATGGTTTGCGGCAACACGTTGGCCGCAGTCAGTGGTCGCGTTGCGCGGGCGCAGCATCTATCGCCCAAGCCCCTCGACGCCGAGCTCGCGGGCCGCGCGCGCGCGTCTGCGCGGCCAGCGGGCGCTGCAGCTGCATTGCAGCCTCGCTCGGCAGCGCCGGGGAATCCAGCGCCAGCCGCGCCTGCAGCGCCAACAGCGCCAGCGGCGCCGCCTGCGCTGTCGCGGTGGACTCGAGTTGTCGGCGCATTCCTTTTGGGGCAGGACCAGAGGCGCGACTGGCTGGGCGCCCGCCGCGCGCTGGCCGCATGCCCCGCGCCGCCGGCTGCCGACGCGCATCTTCCGAGTTGGGCGTGCATGCCATCGGCGGCCTCGCTTGGCATCGGCGCGCCATGCGGGTTGTGCC